GGGAACACGTATGCCGTCTTCCTCTGCTTTCCCAGGCACATTACCAGGGAGCTGGATTAGAAGCAGCACAGCAGGTGCTGAAACTGCTTCTTATATGTGATGCCAGCACTGCAGGTGACAGCTTAATGTGTCAGGCCACAACACGGTCCCACCAAGCCAAACTTTTTACCCTGAGTGCTTCAGGAGAGACCCAAACCCGTTGGTGGGCTCCAGGAGTTATTGCAAGTGCCAGAGATCAACCACACCACCCACCATCCACTTGCAGCCTTGCCTATAATTCACCCCGAGTGTCCCTCCACACCCTGGTCTGCCCAGAGCCCACCACCCCAGGTTACTCTGCTAACTCAGCTGGTACCTGACAGACATTCCATTTTCACCCCTCAAAGATCCCAGATGATGGAACATTGTCTGGTCGCAGACCTCCCTGGAAGGCTGCGGTCCTGCTCCAGTTACAGACCGGGAAGCTTCATGGGACTTACACCATGGCATAGCATGATATTCATCTGCTTGCTGCACTGTCAACCCATTGGGCACCCACTAGTTCAAGTCCCAGTTGCTCCACTCTTCTGCCTTTCTCGTTGAAATTAAATAAATCTTAAAAGACCGTTTTCTCACTCAGCCAGCTTCTTTCTAATGCTTCAGGGAAAGCAGCAGAGGATGGTCCAGGTGCTTGGGTGCCTGTACCATGTGGGAGACCCAAAGAAGCTCTTGCCTCCTGGTTTTGGGTTGGTGCAGTTCTAGCCATTGTGGCCATTTTGGGAGTGAACCAGCGGATGGAAGATCTTCTCTCTCTCTCCTCTGTAATTCTGTAGAGATTGTGTGCACTGGTCCCAATCTCACCTGCCAGCTCAGTGGCCATGGCTATCAGCATTCTAGGGAACACAGCCTCGTTTTCTTTGCACAGTTCAGCTTTGATCAGCTTCGTCTCTGGCCACCTGCAGCTGGACAAAGCTACTGAGTTGTCACTTGACACGGCCACCCTCCACAGCAGACAGCCTGAGTTCAAGTTCCGGCTCTGCCTCCTATCCTCCCACCTGCTGGTGTGTGCCTTGGGAGGCAGCAGGTAATGGCTCAAACATCTGGGTCGCTGCTACTCACGCGGGAGACACAGCTGGAGTGCCTAACGTCTTGCTTCATCCTGACCCAGCCCCACCCACTGTGAGCTTTTGGAAGAAAACAGCAGATGGAAGATGCCTGCCTCTTTTTCTCTCCCTCCTTTTAAGTGAGAAGAAATAAACTCCTTTTTAAAAAGGTCACTGTGGATGACAAGCCGTTTATCAGTGAAATCTGTGCTTCGGTTTTATTGTCAGTTGGCATCGACAGGGTCCCAAGGTAAGTGGCGTGCACCTTCATCTTATTCGTGATGACATCCAAACGCAGGAAGTGACTCAGAGGTACTCCACTGTGAGTAGCAGGACCAGACTCAGCGCTAGCTTTTCTGGCCCAACTGCAACACGCAGTTTTTTTCCTTAAAGATCATGTTTATTGAGGCTGGCACCGTGGTGTGGCATGTTAAGCCTCAGCATGCAGTGTCAGCATCCCATATGGACCCCAGTTGGAGTCTTGGCTGGTTCCACTTCTGATCCAGCTCTCCACTAAAGGCCTCCAAAAGCAGTGGAAGGTGCTCCAAATCCCTGAGACCCTGCACTCACTTGACAGACCTAGAAGAAACTCGTGGCTTCAGACTGACCCTTGTAGCCTTCTGGGGGGTGAACCAATGAATGCAAGCTCTCTCTCTCGTTATCCTCTCTCTCTGATGTAGTCCTGTGTTTCAACCAAAAATAAATATTTTACATAAAAAAGAATGTCAAATTATCAAATTATTTGAAAGAGAGAGACCCAGACAGAAGAGAGATTTCTGTCTGTTGGTTCACTTCCCCAAATGCCCACAACGGGTCAAGTCTGGACCAGACAGAGTCTGGAAGTTCAGGCCAAGTGTCCTACTCGGGTGGCAGGGAGCCAAGCACCCGAGCCAGCACCTGCTGCCTCCCAGGGTGCACACGAGCAGGAAGCAGGATGGGAAGGAGAGGCGCCAGACCCTTGGATCTGGGGTGCAGATATGCCCAGCAGGTGCCTGAACCACAATCCAGTGCCTACCCCTTCAGCTCCTCTCTGCAGGAAGTCCTTGATAGAGATGATGCTTTACAGACCACAAATGCGTCATAATCCAGTAGTGTGGGGCTACGCAGAATTTATATCACTTTTCTCCTGCTGGAAAGTGTGAGATTAAAAAAAAAAAAAAGACAGCCCGTGGGTTTGGGTGTTGTTGCCATGGTTTTGTTGGCTTTGCTTTTTGCTGGTTGTGGGATTTCCAGAAACTGCTGAATCCTTTTCCGTGTCCTTCCCGACAACATCAGGACACTTGGTGAGTGGATTTATCATCTCAAGGATGCATTGCAGAAAATGGAAAAGGGACCAACTAAGGGGATGGGGGGAAAAGCGTATGGAGAGTGAAAAATACAAGTCGTGCAACGCCAGGGAAGTACAACAGGGTTTTTATTTCAATGAGACTGCGAGTCTGCACCCAGAGCAGGCTGCCAGCCGAGCCCTGAGCAGGTGCAGCCGTGGTGACCTGGTTTTCCTTTCTCCCACACAGAAGCTTCTGTGTTTCCTTTACTGCCTCCCCTGACGACGTGGAGCTGGTTACGTCACCTGCCTAGAGGTGCTTTCATTTTCATCCTGTGAGTTGGATTCTCCCACTGCAAATCTCCCTCCGGTTCTTAGAAAAGTGACATCGAGCACTGACTGACTGACAGCAGGACATTTTGATGAGGAAATACCCAATGCAAAAGCTGTGAACTGTTTGACATAGTTCACAGGGTGAGTTTTTTTTTTTTTTTTTTTTTTTAAGGGCAGGATGACAGAAAGAGAAGGAGGAGAGATGGAAAGAGAGAGAGAGGTCTTCCATCTGCGGGGGGGCTGCAATAGCTGGAGCAGAGCTGGTCTGAAGCCAGGAGCCAGGAGCTTCTTCCAGGTCTCCCACGTGGGTGCAGGGGCCCAAGGATGTGGGCCATCCTCTGCTGCTTTGCCAGGCCACAAGCAGGGAGCTGAACAGTGCTGGCCCACCGGGTATCTTAGTGGTCACGGGAAAGAGGCCTCATCCAGGTCTGCCTGTGTTTCTCAGGGACCTGCATACTGTGCTCATTTTTGTGAACACTGTGACAGGCCAATGTCAAGTCTAGTTTTATACTACTCCCCCTCTGACCCATAGACCAGGCAAAAGTCCATCGACCTAGCTCCATCCCCAAGCAGGGGAATCCACCTGTTCTCAAGTGCCACACTGAGGCGGGCTTCTCTGCCTAGGCAACCCTGTACCCCCAACAACAGGCAAAACATGAGCGTGGTGGCAATGGCACCTAAGAAGCGGGAGGGCTCAACCCCTCCAAGAGGAGAGAAACACCAGGGAGAGATCTAACCCCCCACCCGCCGTCTCCTCCACCTTGCTTCCTGTGTCCCAGCATTCCTGGCACTCCCTATGGTGTTGGCTGCCTTGCACCTGTAATCAGGATTCTGTCCTGCCAGCCCAAGTGGTGGGATACAGAATGCTCTACCCCCAGGAGTGCCCCCATATGGTCATGAATAGAATAGCAGCACCCAAGGGAAAGACTGGGATCTGTCAGCTTGGGACTGGAAGCAGGGACCCAGCATGGGTGAGACGCTGGGTATCACTGTCTCCAGGGGTATACCAGCGGAAAGCTGGGGTCGGGAGACAGCACGGAGCACCAAACCCAAATTCTCTCATGTAGGACACAGGCATTCTGACTGCTCAGCTCAACACCTGGCCCAGTTAAACATTTGTACACACATGAATAGCCCAGGCGATATAAAGGGAGCCTAAGGGCTGGCAACATGGCTCAGTTGGCTAATCTCGCACTTGCATGCGCCAGCATCCCATATGGGCGCCAGTGCATGTCCCAGCTGCTCCACTTCCCATCCAGCTCCCTGCTTGTGGCCTGGGAAAGCAGCAGAGGATGGCCAAAGCCTTGGGCTCCTGCACCCACGTGGGAGACCTGGAAGAAGCTTCTGGCTCCTGGCTTCCGACTGACTTAGTTCTGGCCATTGTGGCCACCTGGGGAGTAAATCAGCCGGTGGAAGATCGTTCTCTCCCCTTCTCTCTGTAAATCTGACTTTCCAATAAAAATAACAAATCTTTTTCAAAAAAAAAAAAAAAAAAAAAACACCTTGCTCTGTCTCCTTTCTGTAATTCTGCCTTTCCACTATATAATAAGTAAGTCTTTATTTCTTTATGGGGGAGGGGAGCCCAAGAGCTAAGGAGGCCGGGCCTGCAGAGGGAGGATTTCTCAGGGGGCAGGCACAGTAACTGGTGAATAGCTTTTACTATAACCACTGGTTCCCCAAACGGGACAAGATCCTATACAGAATGTTGATGTTAGAGGCCCAAGCCAAGCATACCAGAGCTACTCTGGCTCGGAGGCACCACAGGGTTAACTGTCATCCCCGCCAGACCAGCTGTGCCTCGGACAGAACTTCTGCTTCCCTAATTTCTCCACACCTAAGCAGATAATTAAGACAGGGATAATTCCTGCCTCCCAGAGCCGTTGTTAGACCGGCTAGTCCTTAGGCCCAAAGCACTTCCGAGCAGGGTCTGACACATTAAAAAATAAAGTGTGAGATCATTTAATTCATTTCCTTTCATTTACACTGGAGGGAACATGGAATAAAAGAGAGCCGAGACAAATTCAACATGGAGCCCAGTCCTAGGAACCATTTTATAGTCGCACAAACCTCTCAGATAATGACTTATTTGGGGAGGGAGGTCTCCTAGTGCCCCAAACCCGTCTCTGGTAGGGCACACAGCGTCACAGCTCTGGGGGGGCTCATCGCTTTTCTGCAGAGTACGCCTGGCTCGGTACAAGCAATAACTTAGGAAAAAGCGCACGCCGGCCGGCGGAGCTTGGCCCTCGGGGCTGCCCGTCCGCGCCGCCTGGCGCGCATGCGCAGCAGCCGGCCGCCCTTGCGTCGGGGCTCGGGGCAGCCGGGGCCATGGCGACGCACCATGCGCGGCTCTGGGCCCGCTGGGCGTTGTGCGCTCGGGGTCCAGGCCGAGTCCAGCGACCTGGCCCCAGGCGGTTCTGCTGCTCAGGGACGGCGGCCGCCGACGTGCGCCGGGAAGAGCAGGCCCCGGGCGGCGCGGAGACAGGTGGGCGATGGCGCCGTTGTGCGCGCCCGGCGGGGGAGCGCTCTGGGGCCGCAGCAGGTGGACGGGTGCGGGGATGGGAGGTGGCGCTGCCGGCTCCTTCTGGGACCGCTTCCTGGGCCCAGCGTTACAGGGGTGGGGGTGTAGGTGGGTTCTCTGTCCCCTTTCTGGGATCATTTCCCTGGGCCCAGTCATTAAGGTGGTGGGGATGTGGGGTGCAGGGGGTCCTGGTTCCACCTTCGGGGACCTCTCCCCTGGGCCCAGCTCTTAGGGGTACGGGGTACTGGGAGTCCTGATTCTGCCTTCTGGGGCCTCTGCCCTGGACCCAGTTCTTGGGAGTGCGGGATGCAGAGGGGTCCTGGTTCCTCCTTTTGGGGCCGCCCCCCTGGGGCACAGGGGGTCCTGATTCTGCCTTCTTGGGCCTCTCCCTTGGGCCCATTTCTTAGCGGTATAGAGTGCATGGGGTCCTGGTTCCCCCTTTTTGGGGCCTTTCCTCCAGGCCCAACTCTTAGGGATATGGGGTGCGAGGAGGGGTCCTGATTCTGCCTTCTAGGGCCTCTCCCCTGGGCCCAGTTCTTTGTTGTGTGGGATACAGGTGGTCCTGGTCCCACTTTTGGGCCCTCTCCCCTGGGCCCAGTGTGAAGTCATCTCAACCCCCCTGGGCAGTGGAGGATGAGACCCCAGCCTGCTGATACTGTCGGTCTGGGTGAAGTGACGCCCCTCATAATAACAGGGAATTTTCCCTAAGCTGGCTTTGTGGTCTGCACGGGACGGTGTGCTGTGGCACTGAGGCATTGGTTGTCTTCCCTGCAGCTGCTGCTGGTGTCGCAGAGTTTGAGGAGCACAGCAGGTAGGCAGGTAGGAGTAGCTGTGGATAGAGTGTTACTATCTTTCATGGAGATAGGCTAGATCCAAATGCCCCACCATTCGGTGACCAAGGTTAAAGAAATCCTGTCCCAAAGCCGTGGCCTTCCCCCGGCCTACAGTTTGGCTGTTCTAATTTTTTTTTTAAAGCAGATACTGCCTGTTTTCAGCATTAAGATAAGGTAGTAAGGAAATTGTCCAGGACTCTGTGTGGGGGTGCATGACAGGTAATAAGATCCCCCCCTTGAGTCCCTTGGGAATGTAGAAATCTAACTGACTGAGTGTCCCTCAGCCCACAGGGGGAGAACTTGGCACAGACCTTGGAGTCTGTTTTCTGGAAGTAAAAAGGCTACAGTGTGTTCGGCAGTGGGACTTGGGTGGAAGGAGCCCTCTGCAGTGTGGTGGCTGTGGAGGGTACCTGAGCCAGGTTGGACCCACTGCTTGGGACTAAGGCCATGGCGGCAAGCTCTAGGGTTTTTAGGGTATCTAATTGCTGCCTAGGGACATCCATGGATAAGGCCAATGTGAGTGTAGATGAGAGATGAATCCTGTGCGACTCCCAGCGACGGTGTCACAGAACTTACTAGCAAGTGTGGGGACTGAGACCTAGAGGCTTGGAGAGGAGAGTCCTTACGATCTGTTTGGGCCAGACTGATTCACCAGCCCACATGGGAGTCCTGAGATGGGCTGTTAGCATAGAACATTGCTGACTGCCGCACGCCAGTCCACACGAAAGCTGTGGCTGGGGGCCTGTCTGGCAGGGTTAGGTACCAGTACCTGACTGAGTGGTGGAGCAGGGGACAGGTCTTAGGGCAGGGTCATGACACCAACCAGCATATGAGAGAAGCAGGTGCGGGGGTAGATTCTGCAGGGAATGTGTGGGTCCAACCCTGTGGAAATACAAGTCCCGTTGTTTAAGAGTTGGGGTGACGATGAGCTGAGCTAGGTGTGACCATGGAACCAGCCATCACTCACGGGCAGAGGAACCAACAGCAGTCTGGGCAGGTCAAGGCAGCCGCACCCACATGTGCATCCTAAAACTGATTGTGGGGTGGGCAGGACTGCAGTGTTCACCAGCTCATGGAAGGGAAGACTATGCCGGGTACTGGCCTAACACACACTGGCATGTGTAAGATCTGGTCTGGGAGTGGGTCAAGTGGAGGAACTTGGGTTCCTTGGTGGGTCATAACTCACTGGTGATCACATGATCCAGGCCTGGGGGTCAGGCAAGCTGGGCAGAGTAGCTCCAATAGCTGCCTAATGTGTGGATTGGTTATGGAAGGGGCGGACCAGGCAGGGCTGAGCAAACCTTAGCTCACAAGCAAGAATAAAAATCAGGATGGAGCACAGGTCAAGCCGAGCTAGGCTCTTACACCTACTGGTCTATATGAGCCAGGGATGCTAGGCCACAGCATCTAAGGCAAGGGCCGGGACAGATGAGGGGCTGTGCCAAGCTGAGTCAGAGCAACCACTGGCATGCGTGCAATCTATGGCTGGGAACAGGCCTGGTTGGGGAGCTAAGAAGATACCCTGGCTGGGTTGGGGTTCCTACGGGTGAGTGTGGAGACCAGAGTGGGGACTGCATTGTGTTTTGTATATGGCTGCAGTATCCCTTGGCACAAGTGTGGACTGGGACTGGGTGCACCAATCCGGGCTAAACTTTAGCATTGACTGGTGCTCTGGAGGACCAGGGTAGTTGTAGGACAGACTAGGCAAGGTCTCTTCCCCTACTAAGCCATGTGTGAGCTGTGTCTGGGTATGGATGAGCCTTGGCTGGGCTGAAACATCTAAAAGTAAGAACTGGAATGGGTTGAAGGCCAGTCAGGGAAGGCCACTGTTCCTGCCGGGACAGGAGGTGGACTAAGTAGGGCTGGCCCATGGACTTGCTAGTGTGCACGAGATCTGGCACTGGGAGAGGTTCTGATGGAGGAGCCTGGGCAACTCCTCTGGCAGGACACAGACCCTGCAGGTGAGCGCAACAACCATGATAGGGAACAGACCAGACTAGGCCAGGGAGAGGTACCCACTGGCATACATTTGTCATAGGTCAGGGTGGACCAGACTGAACCAATTCACATCACCCTCTGGTGAATCTGAGCACCAAAACAGTATGTGGGTTGGGCCAGGTTCAGTTACAACACGTACCAGTACACATTACAGCTGGGACTGGTTGCCTTTTGGACTGGGCTAGGCTGTAACCCCCACCAGTGTCAGCTAGAATTGAGAGTGAACCTGGCCGGGCCAGGCTTCAGCACCCACTAGCAAATGCTGAGGCAGGGGGTATGGCTCATGTCAGACTGGGCTGCAGCATTCAAGCAGCACACTCAAGACACGGGGGATTTGGGGCAAAGCTGGCAGGGGAAAGATGGAGGGATCCCTGCTGGACTGCCACTGGGGAGCATGCCACTGGGATGGGGGCAAACCAAACCAGGCAGGGCTACAATACCTGTGTGCCTCATGTGAGCCAGATCAGGGAAAAGCCAGGCTGGGCTGACTGTTCCTGCTGGTGCAAACATAAATCAGAGTGGGTGACGGTTGGATGGGCTTTGCCGCAGCATCAGCTGGCAAGTGCTGGCACATGGGGCTAATTCTGCCAAATTAAACCGCAGAACTACCCGGAGAGTGCATGATCTGGGAATGGGAGTGAGCCAGTAGGGAAATTTTTGGCACTTCCCTCTTGGTTACCGCTGCCACTGGGGAGCATGAAAACCAAGACAGGGGCAGGCGTGGCTAGACAGAACGGCACCCACCAGCATGTGTGTGGGCTGGATAGTAGGTTGGTTGGGTTGAACTCGGCTTCAATGCCCATTGACACGTATGAGAGCTGAATGGGATGTGGGACAGACTGGACAAAGTCTGCTGTACATACTGGCAAGCATGGGAACCAGGGTAGGGGGCAGGCCTGGTGGGGGTTATTGAGAGTCGCCCCAACTAGGCTGCAGTTCTCATTGGTTTGCATGAGGACCGAGTGTGTGGTGTGCAAAATCAGGCTGGACTACAACACCCATTGGTTCGCGTGGAAGGCAGGGCTGGAAACAGAACTGACCCAGCAATTGTAACCAACAGCATGTGTGTAAGCTGATTGGGGCGACTGTGCCGGACCCTGTACTGGCAAGCACACACAAGAATCAGGTCTGGGGTCACCTCAGATGAAGTTTCTTTGGGGATCCCTCCAACTGAATTGCTAATCTCAGAACCCCAACCATGAAGAGAAGTTCAGGTTCCATGGTCTGACCATAGAGTGCAAGTGCCAGAGCTGAGCCTTCTCAGAGACTCAGACGGAGCAGTGGACAGCATATACAGGTGCACATGGAGGATATGGCAGTCCATTGGAACCTGCAGAGGACAACTGGTACCACAACAGAGTATGGAGAACAGAAAAATCAATCAACTACTCTAGCCTTGTGTTGGCAGTGAAAATCTGGGTAAATGGAGACTCTAAGGTAACTATGTCAGCCAGTGGATTCTGGAGAGATTTCATTGTGCTTGGAGTGGTGAGACTGGCAGCAATTCAAAACTGTTGAACTATCAAAACCACTTGAGCAGGACCCTCAGAGCATGCCCCATGTCAGGGACCCTACGATGGGGTGGGATGCTAGGTGGGGCTTCTCCCTTTATCTCCCCCAGATATAGAAAACAAAAATGTGGAAACAATGGTCTTAACCTAATTTCTTGTATCCCTTGACACTTTGTGCACTAATCAACTATGTAAAGGTTATCAAAATAAAATGATAATTTAAAAAAAGGACTGTAGTGCCGTTAGTACACAGGTTCTAGTGGTGGACATGTGTTTGTATTGAGGCTGGTGTCTGCTGTGTTTCCATTTCCATGTTGGTCGCCTCAGTGTGAACAGAGCTTTCCTGTGACTATTGGGTGGAGTGTGAAGGTATGTGGTGTCTTAATTTAGGACTTTATTCTATGCAGGGCAGAGAAACCCAAAATAGCTTAAGGGGAGTGAAACCCTTTTAATGGATTTTTAAACATTTTGTTTGAAAGGCAGAGTTATAGAGAGAGATGAGAGACTGACTGAGGGAGAGGGCGTCCGCTCCCCGGCCCACTCCCCAGAGGCCAGCAGGGGTTGAGCCTGCTGGGCCGGCCGTGACCCCCGTGGGTGGCAGGGGTCCACGTCAGGTGAGTCCTCATGCCTGCTTCTTGGGGTGTGCGTTAGTAAGTGGCTGGGGTCCGAGTGCAGCCGGGACTCCATCCCAGCCACTGTGCCAGACACGGCCTCCTTTTTTTTTTTTTTTCAGTTTGGAGATGATAGAATTTGTACATGTGTGTATGTGCCTGTTTGTGGAAGTGTTGACCGATTCTGTTTTTGAAATGGTGTGGGGCTCTTCCCCCCGCCCCGTTCGGGGCCTCAAGAATAGGCAATGGAGACCGAGGCAGTGTTGAATTTCAGGGGTGGCCGTGGACGTGGCGAGTAGACAATGGGGAGCTAGCCTAACCTTCACAAAGGGAGAGGGGGGTTTATAGTCGCACGTCCCGCCTTGGTGTCCCTCACGCAGGTCTGTCGTCCTGTTACGTGCGACGGTTATGTTGCTTAGAGTGTGGAGTGTGTGCGTCTCTCCTAGGCCCTGCGGACCTGACTGCCAGGAAGAGCTTCTCGGAGGTGCAGGAGGGAAGGAGGGAGCAAGCCCAGCGCTCTGTCCTGATACACTGTCCCAGCAAAGTCAGCGAGAAAAAGCTCCTCAAGTATTTATCTCAGCACGGACCCATCAATAATCACTTCTTCTATGAAAGCTTTGTAAGTTGGGGTTGGGGGGGACCCTTTTTTTTGTGGGGTGCTGGCGTGGGAGGAGCAGTTTGGTTGCTTGGGATTGCTCGCAGCAGGCACCGGGGCGTGCTGGTCTGAGTCGTGCTGTGCTTTGTCCTGTTGCTGCTGCAGGGTCTCTATGCTGTGGTGGAGTTCTCCCAGCAGGAAAGTGTGGGCTCTGTCCTGAGTGGGGCCCTCCCGCCGCGTCTGGGCAGCGGGGAGGCCGCCATCCCCTTCCGCTCACGGTTCATCAACCTGCGGCCGAAGCAGGGGCCCAGCCAGGCCTCCGACCTGCCCTGCGTGCAGACCAGTCACCAGCTGCCGCCTCCCAGCAAGAAGCTGTTTGAGCTGCTTTGTCATGCAGAGAGTGTAAGTGGGTAGGCGTCTCCACTGAAGAATGTGTGTGCCATTCTCCTGGCTTGGAGAAATGCCGTGTGATTGAGAGTCGGGGAGGCAGGCGGCACTGTGCCCTGCGATAGGAGTTGGTGGGGTGGACGGGGCAGTGGTGTGTGTGCCCCAGGGAGACGTGCCCCTGTACTGGGAGCTCTGAGAGCCACATGCAGGGCACACAGTGAGGGCATGTTGAACTTCAGACTCCTGGCTCATCCTGCTCCCTCACCTGGAGCCTGTCCTGCTGCATCCACAGAATAAACCCTGCTAGTCAAGGCATATTTCAACAATAGGTCCATATATTTGTTTTGCAAATTCTGTGGTTTTATCATCGTAGAGTTCCTTTACAAAATAAATTAATAAAACCATGCAACTGGGGCCGGCTTTGTGGTGTTACAGGCTAAGCTACTGGCTGCAGTGCTGGGCATCCTATGTGGGCACTGGTTTGAGTCCCAGCTGCTCCTCTTCCCTTCCAGCTCCCTACTCATGTGCCTGGGAAAGCATCAGAGGATGACCCAGGTGCTTGGGGCCCCTGGACCCACATGGGAGACCAGAAAAAAGCTCCTGCTGCTGGCTTTAACCTGGCCCATCCCAGCCTGTTATGTTGCTTAGAAAGTGAGCTAGCAGATAAAAGATCTCTCTCTCTCTCTCTGTCCCTCTCTCTTTAATTCTGCTTTTTATGTGAATAAATCTATATTTTTAAAAGCTGCAGCCTGTAGAATGTGCCGAGTGAGGAGTGCAGGTGACCCCCCGCTGCTGCCCCATGTCCTGTTTGCTGCCAGAGTTGGCCACTTTCTTCCAGCCCCTGGGCTTTTGGGAGAGTTTGCTTTTTCTCTCTTCGCAGCCTAATGAAGTACAGTTACGTCAGAATGAAGGACCGTTCTGTAGCTGGCAGCGTATGGAATCACCTCTTTTTTTCTGTACTACTGTTGTTTATATTTGTGCTTTTCCTCCTCCTCCTTGTCTAGCGTGACTTAGCTTAATAGTCCTTCCAAGGAACCAGTCATGCTTTTATGTATCAAAATACTGGTTGGGTTTTGTTTGTTTGTTTCTTTGTTGGCTTAATTTTCTGTCTTAAAAATTTTGTCCCTAACTTTTTGCATTTCCTTGATTTATGTCTTTAGGAGAATATTTATTCCGCTCTTTTTAAAAATACTGCTTTTGAGTAAGAGCGTTTGAGGCTGCAATTTTGGTGTGGTGGTTGTTTTGAAGATCATTTTTATTGGAAAGGCAGGTAGGTTTACAGAGGGAGAAGGAGAGACAGAGAGAAAGATCATCCATCTGTTGGTTCACTCCCATGGGGCTGTGACAGCCAGAGCTGAGACTAACAACTTGCTGCCAGGAGCCTTTTCCAGGTCTCCCAAATGGGGGCAGGGGCCCAAAGCTTTGGGCCGTCCTCTGCTACTTTCCCAGGCCACAAGCTGGGACACGAACTGGTGCCCATATGGGGTCCTGGCTCTTGAAAGGGGAGGCTTAGCCAATTGAGCCACTGCACAGGGCCCAGACTGAGAGTTTTAATGGCAGTCTTCTGTCCGACAGGCAATGTGAACAGTCTGGCGATGGATCGGGTCTTTGGGCCTTGAGTCATCACTGGGTGCAGTGTCGCAGGCTGCCTCCTGTTGGCTCCTGGAGTTGAGTGGGTACAGGCCACTGCACTTGGCACTCAACTCCCGGGGAAGGTCACCAGCCTTAAAGTGTCTCCGAGCAGTGTGCCCAAGGCTGGAAGTGTCAGACACCGCTTGTTTCTTGAGTAGGGCGCCCAGAGCGGCAGCCCGTGGCGACTTGAGGTGACGTGCCCGTCGTGTGTCTTGTCTTGTTCTGGCCAGCTAGGTAGACGAGCAGCTGAACACGCTGTGGAAGGCGCTGCAGCTGACGGAAGAGAACGTCCGGCTCCGCTACCTCACCTGCTCGCTCATCGAGGACGTGGCAGCCGCCTACTTCCCCGCCTGCACCGTCAGGCCCTTTGGCTCCTCGGTGAACACGTTTGGGAAGCTAGGGTGTGACCTGGACATGTTTCTGGATCTCGATGAGATTGGAAAACGCAATGTTTCTAAGGTAACTCTATTTCCTTAGACCATGATCATTATTTAAAATTTAGAAATTAGAAATTGATTAGTTTTGTAAGTGTGAACTAATTACTGCAATGTTTTAAAATTCGGTTTTTAGTGTTAGTTTCTTAAAATTCTTATGAGATTTGTATTTCAAACAGCTTCTGTTAGCTACCAAGGTGTATGGTTGTTCCATCTTGCCAGATTGTTGGCATTTGTTGTTAAACCCTGTCAGTGCTTGCCTTGCGTTCTGGCTTGTTCGTCAGCACAGCCGCCTGTCTGCCTGCGCAGCCTTCATGTGTGTGCTATGCTGAGCCGCTGGGCTGTGCCCGGGAGGCCTGGCGCTCTGCCTGCTTGCTGTGCCAATGGACCAGCCTGGGGGCAGTCCCACTGTCATTGCCTCTTTCCTGTGGTAGAGGGCCTTGCTTTGCTCTGATTCTGTGGCAGCAGTACCCTGTTTTCCACGCCTCTCCTCCCAGCGTCACGCCTTGGTCTCCCCACCTTCGGCCTGTGTGGTGGTCCCTGGAAGCCCAATTTGGATTTCTTGCACTGGGCGTACTGATGAGATGCTTTCTTCCTGCTCAGGGTTTACAGACCGGCCAAGTGCTGTGAGGACACGGACGCTCCTGAGGTCCGCCCTGCCAGGGCTCTGTGAGGGGTGCTCCCTACTGTCCCCCAGGCCTTGCTGCTGAACTTGCTCTCAGCGCACCTGTGGACTTCCTCCGCTCTAGTCAGAACCGAGCCCGCTTGCTGCAGTGACTGCAGGCCGTCTTTCTCCATATTTGTTCTTCTGGGTGTTGAGCTAATGCTGCGTCTGGGCCTTCCTCACTCGGCCGTCAGCTTGAGGAAAGCAGCGCCGTGTCTGCCGATGGTGCATTCGGGAGCACGGTGTCTGGCGTACCCACATGCTCAGCACGTATGGAAGCTGAGGCTGGCCGGGGATGGGAAACTGTTTGGGATTAGTGTCAGGCGGGTCTGGGCTTGGGGCCTGGTGGTTTAGGCCCTGCCTCCAGCTTCTAAGGAGGCAGACGTGATCACTCAAGCCCTTGGGTTCCTGCCACCCATGTGGGAGACCTGGATTGAGGAGATATTCATTCTCTCTCTCTCTCTCTCTCTCTCTCTCTGCCTTCCAGAGAAGTCAGGGAGGCTCACTAGGTCATTGTCCTTAAGGCCAGTGTGGGTGCTCTGACAGCTGTGATGCGTTCCTGGCAGGAGCACTTAGGTTGAGGAGGACCCTGAACAATCAGGGGATGCAGCAGAGTGTGGTAATGGCTGGGGAGCCCAGCTGCAGAGTCGACATTCTGCCTGGAGCTGCGTGGGCTGGGCACGTGGGCCTTCTCCCTGCCCGGCTGTCCTACCTGCCGCTGGCCTGGCCCCGTGGTGCCCGCCCGTTGACTGAGTCGCCTCCTGTGCAGTGGAGTACTCAGGACGGTGCCTGACGCACAGTAACTGCTCGGTGCTGGTGACAGGTGCTGCTTAGTTACCGCCAAGCAGCAGTACTGCTTTCCCCTCTTTTTCCCTGTTGGAAATGCAGGAGTTGGGAACCTTTAGTTGGCTCTCACTCTTGGATTTCTGCAGTGTTGTATGTGGGAAAGCCGTTTCAGAAGACAGGGCTGCAGCCTGACGCAGCGACTGATGCTACCTTATGTGTAGGCTTCACTTCTGAAAGTGGTGCTACAAACATACAGGGGCTGGGGCTCGGCATGGTGGGTTTCTTGGGGTGCCTGCATGTTGGAGGAGCAGATTCACTTCCTGCTGTTCCACTTCTGGTCCAGCTCCCTGCTTGCTCATCTGGAGCGGCTACAGCTGATGGCCCAAGTATTTAGGCTCCTGCCACCCTCATGGGAGATCCAGACGGAACTCATGGCTCATGGCTTCGGTGCGGCCCAGCCCCGACTGTTACAGGCATCTGGGGGAGGGACCGGCAGGTAGGAAACCTCTGTGTGTCTCTCCCTCTCTCACTCATTATTTGTAAGATAAGATCTTCCTCTCTGTCTCCTCCTCTCTGTATATAGCCGACTTTGTAATAAAAATAAATAAATCTTTAAAAAGAAAAGAAGATTTTTTGGGGGAAAATACATGCTTAAGGTTATAATGGCTTCTGTGTGATAGCCAAGCTATTGTTATCATGAAACAAGCGATGGAAACCTTACAGGTGAAATACAGTACAAAGCAGTCTCGACGTTACTGGAGTCACAAAGCCTTCTTTGGCCCACCTTGGGCAGTCGTGGACACTGCTTGGTGTTTTGTAGTCCTTTTGGCACTCTAGCTAGTGTTTCCTTCTTTGTGAATGCCTTGAGCTCTGGCTGAGGGCCTTTCTCAGTAGCAGTGCCGTCTTTCCTGGACGGCCAGATGAGGCTGCAGACACAGCTCCTGGATCTCAGGGGTGCTGAGCAGCGGGCCAGTGGAGGCATTGCGGGCGGGAGTGTAGTGTCCTCCTGCGCCCGTCCAGCCTGCCTCTCCTGGGCTGGGAGCAGGGCCGATGTGGCGGGGAATGCAATGGTGGCTTATAAAGTTGCAAGCCGATGGTGCAAGCTGCCCCTCTGAGGCTTCATGAACCCACGCAGGAGCCCAGCAGGTCCCTGACCGCCTCCCTGGGGGTGTGGGCCGAGGGAGCCCAGCGGTCCCTGACCGCCTCCCTGGGGGTGTGAGCCTGAGCGGGAGCCCAGCAGGCCCCTGACCGCCTCCCTGGGGGTGTGAGCCGAGGGAGCCCAGCAGGCCCCTGACCGCCTCCCTGGGGGTGTGAGCCAAGGGAGCCCAGCGGTCCCTGACCACCTCCCTGGGGGTGTGGGCCTGAGCGGGAGCCCAGCGGTCCCTGACCACCTCCCTGGGGGTGTGAGCCGAGGGAGCCCAGCAGGCCCCTGACCGCCTCCCTGGGGGTGTGAGCCGAGGGAGCTCAGCGGTCCCTGACCACCTCCCTGGGGGTGTGGACCTGAGTGGGAGCCCAGCAGGACCCTGACTGCCTCCCTGAGGGTGTGGGCCTGAGCGGGAGCCCAGCAGGTCCCTGACCGCCTCCCTGGGGGTGTGGGCCTGAGCGGGAGCCCAGCAGGACCCTGACCGCCTCCCTGGGGTGGGTATGGGCCTCAACGGGAGCCCTACCCTGCCCACGGTGCACACTGATGCCCGCAGTTCCTACCTCCTGCCTGGGATTCACCTCTTCTATGTCTCATTTTACTGAGGTTGCCTTAACGACTTAATTAGGTTTTCTTTTTAAATTTGAGTGGATTAGGGAAGTAGAGATATTGTGACAAAATGGCTAAACCAGTTTTAACCCCTAGATGTTGAAGAAAATGCATTTTTTATTCCTTTTAATATGAAAGTATTGCTGTAAGAAGACATCTACAGAAAACAAAGTGATAAAGATAACATGTTTATTTAATTGTGAGGTTTATTTATAACATGTATATTTGTGTATTTGATCTCCCTTTTCTCTGATTTAAAGTAAGATGCATAAATGTAAAGATTTCTTCCTTCAAGGATAAAATATTTTAATGTACTGTATTCTGCATTTTTTTTTTTTTTGCCTATATAGCTGATTTTGCATAAATACAACTTAATCTTTTACGGATTAAAACTGCAAATTGAACTTTGCTTTTACCCCCACTAATAATGTCTTGGCAGTTCAGTCCACTGTGTCCTTTACAATAGCTATAGAATGTTCCTCCCCGCCATCCCCCTGCCCAGCCTTCTTTCACATTTATTCAGTTGAAAGGGAGGCTGACCGGTTCTCCATCTGCTGCTTCACTCCCTAAATGGCTGGTTGGGTGGGGCTGGACCCAGAGGAAGCCAGGAGCAGACGCTCCGTCCTGCCCTCCTTGTGGCAGCCAGCACCTGCTGACTTCTCAGGCATGGCAGTGGGCAGCAATGCAGCCGGGACTCGAACCGGCACTCGAGTGTGGAGGGCCGCCTTCTGAAGCCACTGGTTACTGCATGGCCACCCCGTCTCCCATAGAAGAGCAGAGCAGAGGAGAGGAGGTGTCGTGGCACCCAGTGCAGGAGTTGGGGTGATGCTGAGGACGATCGGGAACCCAGGCAGTGTTCTGCTCCTGACGTCATGTTTCCTTCTCTGCCCGTCACTCCTCTTTCCACACTACCATAGATTTGCTTTATTTTCCATGTGGTGCTGTGAGTGCCCACCCCAAGCTTTGCCTGATGATCCCTGCACCGTGGTCCCGGGTCCCAACACAGATCTCCGGGTGTGTAGTCCGTCTGCACCCAGACCGCTGTCTGGGATGGATGGGATTGGTTTCCATGGTAACACATGGGCAAGATGGGGCTGCAGTGAGGGGACCTTTCTAAGCTGGTGAGTTCCCCAAGGGTGAATGTGCGTGTGTGACACTGATGCGAGTGAGCATCCTAGTAAATGGGCTCGTTTGTGCCAGCCTGCCTCTGAGAGGCCTTCTTAGCGCACACAGCCGGCTCTACAGATCTCACGGTCCAGGTCCCGCAAGAAGTGTTTCCCTCTTTGTGACCCCGCTGACAGTGGACGCCCTGCTTGTGGCTGTCCTCCCAGGCACGTGGCAAAGGCTGTCTTTGCTGTCAGAATGACCTTCTTTCATTTCTAGAAAACCGTGAACGCCTTTTATATTCCCCACAGCTGTTTTAGTTCTTGCCTTAACTTCTTCCTCTAGTCTTTCTTGCCCGTCTTAGAATCCCGTGGTTCTTGTCCCTGCTTTTTGCTCAGGAGCACGCTGCCTCCTTTTTCTCAGGGAGTGGTACATGCATGGCTTGCCTCCATAGGCCCTTAGTCTTGCTAGCTAGTGTTTCCGCTGTGGCCTTTGTAATTGTGTGTGTTGTGCTTCCAGGATCCTTCAGGATGTTAAGGTTGTAAAAACTTCCCCCGCCCTGCCCCAGGGCTCCTAGTGCATTATGGATACATGAGTTTTGGAGCCAAATTAGGAAGCTATTTATTTATTTATTTTTTTATTTTAGTGGTCACTTAACTCATTTAAGAAAATTTACTTTTATTGGAAAGGCAGATATATAGAGAAAAGGAGAGACAGATGCAGAGATCTTCCATTCTCTGGTTCACTCCGCAAGTGGCCATAACAGAGCTGAGCCAATCTGAAGCCAGGAGCCTCTTCCGGGTCTCCCACATAGGTGCAGGGTCTCAAGGTTTTGGATCTCCTCGACTGCTTTCCCAGGCCACAGGCAGGGAGCTGGATGGGAGGTGGAGCAGCTGGGATACGAACCAGCACCTGCATGGGATCCCAGTGCCTGCAAGGCGAGGTCGTTAGCCACTAGACTACCACGTTGGGTCTGGCCACTTGACTCATTCGTTAAATTGGAATTTTCCCCGTGTAATTTGTAGAGCTCATTCAGTGCTAAATTGCCGTGTCATTAGGTCTGTTTGTTGTGTTGTTCTGACCTGCTTGCTGGCATTGAGGCTGTCCATTGCGAACGGCACCCAAACATCCCGGCTCATCAGGGAGGTTATCCCTGCACCTGGGAGTGAGCAGCTCTGCGTGCGCGTCGCTTTAGGACAGCTAGTGTAGATCAGCTAATTGTCAAAAGCCGATGGGTTTCCAAGGAAGGGCTTTACAGCTGACCATCTTTAGCTGTGATTGCATGGAAAGTGTTTGATTTGTTGTTGTTACTGTTGTTGCCAGAAATAATTTTAGGAAAGTTTACTTAAGAATTCCTGTTGGCCAAAAATGCTCACAAATGTTCTTGTTCTTCAGACCTCGGGGAGTTTTTTGATGGAATTTCAAGTGAAAAATGTTCCTTCCGAAAGGATAGCAACGCAGAAGATCCTGTCGGTGATCGGCGAGTGCCTGGACCACTTCGGGCCCGGCTGCGTGGGCGTGCAGAAGATCCTCAACGCTCGCTGCCCACTCGTGCGCTTCTCCCACCAGGCCTCAGGCTTCCAGTGCGACCTGACCACCAATAACAGGTGGGCACTCTGCGTTTGGCAGCGGGGTGGCACTGAGACTGCGGGCTTCCGTGGGAAGCTCTGAGCAGTTGAGTTGACAAGCAAGAAGCCCTTTCTCTGTCTTGTACTTTGCAGAGTGGCCTTCTGGGGCATCATGTGCAGGTCTCGGCTTTCCTAGCAGCTGAAAACAGCTGTGTGTCAGTCATTGTGACATGTGGCTTGCCAGCGGGAGGAGTACCTGTTGATAGTATCCCAGGCAGACTGGGAAAAGCCAGTGAGTGCATGGGCTTGAGCGGGATCAGTCAGTGCTGCGTGCTGAACCGTGTGGCCCTTGCTCCGGCCTAGCCGAGGTGCTTGAGCGCACTGGGAGACTTTCCTGCAGGACAAGCCCTGCTTGCCTTAAAACACAGGCCAGGCTGTGAGAGCTGCATCCTTTCAGGCTTGGTTCACTTTTCCTGGGTTCATAGTAAAGAAAAATCCTCAATTAAAGAGTTGATCCCTTTCATATATGTGTTTTTCCATTTCAAAGGGTACACATGCAGAGTCAGAGGCATCTGCTGGTTTGCTCCCCAAATGGCTGCAGTGGTGGAAGCTGAGCTGGTCCTAAGCCCTCCTTCTCAGTCTCCCACATGGGTGCAGGGGCCCAAGGGCTTGAGCCATCCTCCGCTGCTTTCCTAGGTCATTAGCCAGGAGCTGGATGGAAGTGGAGCAGCAGGGACATGAACTGACACCCATAAAGGCTGCTGGCAGCATAAGTGGAAGCTTAGCTAGCTAAGCCACAGTGTTGGCGAAGAGTTGATTTGTAAGATTTAATTCTTGTTTTTTTTTTATTTGAGAATTAGAATTACAGAGAGATGGAAAGCTGGAGGTCTTCCATCTGTTCCTTCACTCCCCAAGTGGCTGCAGCAGCCAGAGATGAGCTGAACCAAAGTTGGCAGCCAGGAGCTTCTTTCTGGGTCTCCCACATGGGCATAGAGTCCCAAAGACTTGGGCCGTCCTCTGCTGCTTTCCCAGTCCATAAACAGGGAGCCGGATGGGAAGTAGAACAGCCAAGTCTTTCTCCAACTGGAGCCCCTACTGGATGCAGGCACCACAGACAGAGGGTTAGCTTGCTGTGCTACTATGCCTGCCCCCCAGTTGGTTTTTTAAAGCAACACAAGATCGATCTTTGGACCCCTGCACCCACATAGGAGACCCTGATGAAACTCCTGGCTTCTGCCTGGTCCAGTGCTGGCATTTGGAGAATGAGTCAGGGACTTGAAGACTTTTTCTCTCTCTTCCCTGTGTCTCCTTCCTTCCTGCCCTCTCCAACTCCTGACTTTCTAAATAAATAAATAAATCTTAACAAGAAAAATCTGGCATAGAGGAGCTTGTATGAAACTAATGTATTCACCAGCAAACTAAACTTAGATACTTGTGAATGTAAAATAGGAGAAAGTGACATTAATTTTTTTTTAAAGATTTATTTTTATTGGAAAGGTAGATATACAGAGAAGAGGAGAGACAGGAATATCTTCCGTCCGATGGTTTACTCCCCATGCGGTTGCAACGGCTGGAGCTAAGCCAATCCGAAGCCAGGAGCCAGGAACTTCTTCATGGTCTCCCACGCAGGTGCAGGGTCCCAAAGCTTTGGGCCATCCTTGACAGCTTTCCCAGGCCACAAGCAGGGAGATGGATGGGAAGCAGGGCTGCTGGGATTAGAACCGGCGCCCATATGGCATCCCGGTGTGTGCAAGGTGAGGACTTGAACCACTATGCCATTGCGCTGGGCCTGACATTAATTTTTATGTAGTGTTTTCTTTGTCTTGTTGACAGAGTTTTAATAAGAATTTGTCTTACATGCTTCATTTTTTTTATACTTGTAGTGTTTTTGTATATTAGATTGATTCCTTGAACTATTTGGTAATTGTTGTTCAGCTAAATTTAGCTTTACTCACTACATAAGGCTCTTAATCATTGTGAATTTCTTGCTTGCCTTCACGGTGTGACTGCTATGGGATACTTCACAGTTTATAAGTTCTGCTCAGTCATTTTGTGCCCTCTGTTGGTGTTCTGAGGAATTACAGGAGATGCTTTGATAAGTAGAATCTTAGTTTTTGAATACTGATGAAGTTTCTGAAATTTGCATTTCAACATCAGGAATCTTGTTGAAGCTAGATTTTTTTTTTTAAAGATTTATTTGTTTTTATTGGAAAGTCAGATTTACAGAGAATGAAAAAGAGAAATTTTCTGTCTGCTGGTTCGCACCCCAAGTGGTCACAGGGGTTGGAACTAAGCTGATCAGGAGCCAGGAGCCTCTTCCAGATCTTCCGGTGTGTGTCGTGGCGCCCTGCAGCACTGCTGGCGCCCCAGGGTGTGCCCGCGGGCAGCTCCTGGCATAGGTTGTGGTTTTGCGCTGTGATCCTGGTTTGGGAGTGTGACAGTCTGGTTCTTTCTCTCTCTGAAGGATTGCCTTGAAGAGTTCGGAGCTCCTCTACCTGTACGGCTCGCTGGACTCGAGGGTGCGGGCGCTGGTGTTTGCCGTGCGCTGCTGGGCCCGCGCGCATGCCCTCACCAGCAGCATTCCCGGAGCGTGGGTCACCAACTTCGCCCTCACCGTGATGGTCATCTTCTTTCTGCAGAGGAGATCGCCCCCTGTGCTCCCAACGCTGGACTCTTTGAAGGCCCTGGCCGGTGAGCTTCACTCCGGTGACCCCGGGAGTGTGCGGAATCTGGGCCGTGCCCCAGGGGGCTCAGCGCTTCCGGCTCGCTGCCCGAGGCTCTCACTCTTGAATGCCACTCACTGTTTTAAATGCCCATCAGGGCTGGGAGTTGGGAACTGGACTTTGTGGGGAGCAGAGGCGGCAGTAATCATCACCAAGACCCCTGGAGCCTCTCCGTTAGGTGGCCAACCTGAGAATGACCTTATAAAAATGTTTTCCCAGACGCAGCTCAGAGATGGTCCCTACCCGATCTGCTTCCACCCTTCCGTGTTAGAGATGCAGGAGGCTGGAGCGAGCTTAAGCGTAGTGCTCGGTGGGATGTCTGCTGTGAGAGGGCGAGGTGCAGGTCGACAGGGAGGGAGTTGGGGCTTCTAGAGGCACTTCCTGGAAGGGCCCTGCCGTGCACCTGCCTTCTGCGTCTCGCCGCCAGGGCCTCCCAGGTGCACCCTGGGCTCTTGGACTTGCTTGGCAGTGCCTTGATAGTGTTGATGTGATAGTGTTCATGATTAAAGTAATTTTTTTAGGACTCATTTTTACCAGTCACAATTTACGGCTTTCAGGAGTCAGAGAACTGTGGGAGCCTGCTGGCGAAGGCTCTGTCCCGTGAGCCCGTGCTCGCTCCCTGGGTGGTCGCCTCATACAGGGATTCCGGAGTTCATGGTTTCATCGTGATCTCTCCATGCAAAGCCCTTGCCTTGTAGTCCCTGGCTGAGTCAGCAGAAGACATGAACAGCCACGCACAGCTTCTGACCACTGCCATGGCCTGGCGGTGTGCGGTCAGGTCCCTGGAAATACTGTCCCTCTCCGTCCGCGACACTCAGCTGGGCTTTGATTTTCACGTACTTGAGTGGTAATTGCGTCTCAGGATTGGTCCCAGGCAGTTGCCAGGAGCCGTGGGGTCGGGGAAAGTTTTCCTTTTGGCCTGGCCCCGTGTGCTCCTGTGGAGTCTCCTTTGTAAGCTGTCCTCAGCCGTGTTTCCAGCCTAAGCTCACACCACCCACCGCCATCACCCGGAGACAGCTGGTGGCAATGCCCATGGCAAAAAACCCCCCTGGCGTCTCTCCACTGCTCCCTGCCTTCCTGGGAAGTTCGGGCCTACTGACCGCTGTGGAGGAAGTGTAGTTATTTAAATCGTGCTAGCTGTTCCATGCTAACTCATTTTTCTTTTCTTTCTTTTGTATTTTATGTATTTATTCTTATTGGAAAGTCAGATGTGTAGAGAGGAGAGACAGAGGGGAAGATCTTCCATCCGATGATTCACTCCCCAAGTGAGCGCAACGGCAGGAGCTGAGCCAATCTAAAGCCAGGAGCCAGGAACTTCTTCTGGGTTTCCCATGTGGGTGCAGGGTCCCAAGGCTTTGGGCCGTCCCTGACTGCTTTCCCAGGCCACAGGCAGGGAGCTGGATGGGAAGTGGAGCTGCTGGGATTAGATCCAGTGCCCATGTGGGATCCCAGCATGTTCTAGGCAAGGACTTTAGCTTCTAGGCTATTGTGCCGGGCCTCCATGCTAGCTCTTGATAGAAGTAGACCATCACACAGAGCTTTACCTAAGACAAAGATTCCAAGCCTCCATGTGAACTTGATGCTATTGTGTGGCTGAGTCCACTTTGCACCTGTCAGATTCCAGGTGTTTGCTAGCAATATGTGGCTGGCCCAGTGTTGATGACCCAAAGGATTATATTCCCGGGTGTGATTAAAGCCCAGAGATGCAATTATCCTGCGACTCCTGCCAGAAGTCTGCGAGAGCAGTTGTTGACAGTCGTACTGACCCTGTGACACGTTGTACATTTGTGGTCTAATCCTGTTCCCTGACAATGTGGGGAATGCTACTCAGCGAGTTTTTCCTGACATGTCTGTTGTGCCGAAAGCAGTCATGGCTCTGCCAGTTGGAAGAGCTGAAGATTGCCAGGGGGCCAGTGTTGTGACACAGCGTGTTCAGCTACTCCCTGCAAGGCTGCCATCCCATATGAGCACCAGTTCAAGTCCTGGCTGCTCCACTTCCGTTCCAGTTCCCTGCTGGGGAAGCAGCAAAGGATTGATGGTGCAAGTGCTTGGACCCCTGCACCTGCTCCTGACCTTGGACTGACCCAGCCCCAGCTGCTGTTGCCATTTGAGGAGAGAACCAGTGGATGCATGATCGCTCTCCCTGCTGTGCAAACAAGGACATTAAATATAGTAAATAGCCTTAATTTTATTTCATGCGCTTTAGGTGAAAGAAGAAATCATCAAGTTTCTAGTGTGAGCTAATTAAGGTGCTTGTCTGTCTGCTTTCATCAGAACGCTGTTTTAGATTTTTGTTTTCTCTGTGTTTGAGAGCTGGACACACAGATGAGCATCTGCTGGTTCACTCCCGCTGAGTGAGCACTCACAGCCCGTGAGACTTGGCCAGGCCGAGGCCGGGAGCTGTGAACTCAGTCGGGGTCTCCGTGAGAGCAGGCGCTCAGACACCTGAGCCGGCACGTGCTGCCTGCCAAGGTGCGCATAGCAGGAAGCCAGCGTCAGAAGTGCAGTGGGACCTTGAACCAGGCCCTCTGCCAGGGGCCGTGGGCAGCCACCATGTGGAGGGCCCTCCCGGAGACTTTGTGTTTCTTTAGGTTTTGCCGTTGTTTCCCCTGATGCTGTTGAATTGAACGTCGGTGCCACAGTTGCACAGTGGGGCTCTCCCATGCCAGTGGTTGAGAACCAGCTGTCTGAAGCAGCATTTGCTGCAGAAGTTCTCCAGTGGTGGCGTGTTCTGTGAAGCCCTGCGGCCACTCCCACCTCTGCTGTCTAGGCACTTGCAGTGGAGTGGTTCGTGGGATGGGGGAGGGTGGCAGGGGGCGGTGTGTGACTCTAACTTGAATAGTTGCGGGTTGCTGGGGGCTGCATAGTTGTTGGTGTTACTGATAGCAGGAAAACAGGACAGACAGAAACTGAGGGGGAGGGCTGAACAGCTAAGCTGTGTTGGAGTTGAACGCCTTGGGGGAGCTGGAAAAGGAAACCTAGCTATCTCCTTAACGAGAGAATAACTTTTTTCCTTCAAGTTTCCATTCAGTTGTTTAAAGCCCTGTGAATGAGAAGCAGCCGTTGCAGGCAGTCTCAGGTTTTTATCACTGTATTTTCTAGAAACACTATAATGCGGCTCTCATTTCTGTGTTAATAGTGGAATTACATCAGGGTATGTGACTGGCAGGTGCCGACCACTGATGGTGTGAAGGAGGCAGAGCAGCTCCATAGAGCCATGCTCCTCAAGCTCTCGGCCCTGTGTGGCAGGGCACTCACTGAAAGCTTGCTCTCAGGCTAAGTCCTGTCAGGAACCAGAACACAGAAAGGGGGAGGTTGGAGTCTGCAGGCACCTGTTCACCTGCTCTGATCCACATCTGGGGGTGGGGGCCTTCAGAGCCATGTGGCAGCGGTCAGTCCGAAGGCCACGTGACGGCACGCTTTGGGCTGGAGGGGTGGCAGTGGCACACAGTCCCCGCGTGGGGCCATGGGCTGGACAGCTGGCGCTCACCAGGATGCATCCAGGCAGTGGGGCAGAAAGGGGGGGGGAGCTGTGACTTGGCATTCCGTGGGTGGGGAGCACGGCTGCGCTCCCCGGTGGGGATGTCACAAGTTGTGACGTGTGGAGTGAGGAGGTGGGTGCTACCGGCATCCTCACCTTTGATGAGGGAGGGACAAGCTGCCTGCAGAGCTGGGAGGACCAGGAGCAGGAGCAGGGGTGCAGGTGTTGCCTGCCGGGCCCTGCAGTGCCCCTGGCAGAAGTGCCATCCGTGCTCCTGTCGCGTCACCTCGTGTGACCAGTGAACAGATTCTGGGTGAGAAGATGGCGAGAGGGATGAGAAGAGGAGAGAGATGGCAGCTCTCAAATTGAGGGGGCACCAGGGTTGGGCTTGATGTCGGATGGGGCTCCCCATGTGTTCACCTGCACCTGTGAGCCCCAAATCCAGAAGATAGATTAGGGCTTGTGCGATTGTAGTTTGCTAACAGCGTCCAGTTAATTTCACTCTAGTTAATGGCCTCCTTTGTGAAAGGAATTTTAAATCCTGTTCACTATGTGTGTGTGTTTGCATACACAGCTAATATTTTAAATACATGCATAAAATGTTGAAACCGCAGTAATAGGACCCAGGCATATGTAACTTGGGTTGAGTTGAGCTGTAGATTCCTTACGTGAAGAAGGAAGTATCTTTGAAGTGTAACGAGCATTCTTTACGTTCTTGCCTGTTTAAGATGCGGAAGACAGGTGTGTAATAGAAGGCAACAACTGCACGTTCGTTCAGCACTTGAATAAAATTCAGCCGTCAGGGAACACGGAAACACTGGGTAAGCGTTTTCCTTCTCACTCTGCCTTTGTGAGTTAAAACAGAACTCCTCCTCACTGTGCTCGTCCTGTTTATTTCCTTGCAGAATCGCTGCTGACGGAATTTTTTGAGTATTTTGGCAATTTCGCTTTCAATAAAAATTCCATAAATATCCGACAGGTAAGTGACGTTTTGATGCTGGTTGCGGTGTCACGGCGCTCCGTGGTGGGGTGGCTTGAGGCCTGAAGGAGTTCTCTGAGCACCTGTCGTGTGGTGACTGGGAGAGCAGAGCCGGCTCTCTTACTGCCTGGCTGAGCTGCTGGGCGCTGGGGAGCAGAGGCAGACAGGCCCGCGTGCTCTCCTTTCTGCTGGTTTACTGCCCTGCCACTCCCAGTGCCTGGGGCCTGGGCCAGGCTGAGAGTACCAGGTGGGAACTCAGTCCCGGCTCCCACGGCACTGGAGCCGTCCCTGCAGGAGCAGGAACTGCAGCTGGGCCTCACGCAGCCACCCCGGTGTGGGCCAAGTGCCACCGGCTGCACTGTCACCTGCTCTGCTGCTCTGTTCTCTCTGGGTTCTGTCACCACTCGGAGCTGATAACCAGGCCTCCCAAATGTGCAGTAGGTCCCAAAACGTTGCTGTGCAGTATGCCCCATAGTGTCAGCTGCTCTTATGTTGCTCTTGGAGAACTTGGATAGTCTCCACACAGGTTACAGTGATGGCCTCAGCCAGGGCCCTCCACTTTGGGTTTATTTAGGGCAGGTGGATGTTTGATGCTGGTTCGTGTGAGGAGCTGAGGTGTTAGACATGTTTGCAGAAGAGACGGTAGGGCCGGAGGACACTTAGTGTCCGTGCCAGGTTGGTTGGCTGCCCTGGGGAGCCGCCTCCCGAGACCGTCTCAGGGACCAGGGTTCCACCGCTCTTTTTATCTGCTTTCTTCAGCTCTCCTGTCCCCCCTTTCCCCTAACTCTTGTCTTACTTACTGGGTCGTTGTTAGTTAAAAGTGTGGGCCTGAGAGAGGTGGAGGCCACAGACAGCGGGGGGCTGCATCTGCAAGGAAAAGATCAGTCACCAGGAAGCACTGTGTCCTCCCGGCTCAGGGGACAGGCAGGGCCTGGCTGGGCAGTGGCCGAGCACCGGAGGGGCTGGGCCCCCTGCCCCAGGCTGGACTCCAGGCTTTCACTGCTGTTGGTCCCTGTGCAGCTTTGTGCGGGCCACAGGCCCAACTGCTCTCCTAGCTGTGCAGCAGCGTCCTCATGGCAGGCTCCCTCTGGGCAGGTGAGCATTGCACGGTAAAGAATTCCTTTTTTTTTTTTAAGTTGATTTTCGACTACTTGAAAGAACCAGACAGATTTTTCCTTCTGCTGGTTCACTCTTCAGACGCCTGGGCCAGGCCAGAGTGAGGAGCCTGGAGCTCCGTCAGGGTGTCCCACATGTTTCATCTGTCGTCTGCTGGTCTGCTGCCTCGGGGGCATGTGAACAGCACGCCGGGTTGGCTGGGAGGCGGCACTGCAGGTGCTGTGCCGTGGCTCTGCCCCAGGAGGCACGCAGGAAACGCTGGGCCTGACCGGCCGCCCACAGCCCTCCCTGCTGGACAGGAACAGCAGCAGCACCCAGGGGGTCTGCGGCCCAAGTCAGCTGTTTTTCTCCAAAGCTTAGTTATAAATCTGCAACGGGGAAAACAGGTGTGGCTGCAGGCCCTCCCTGGAGGTGGCCACTGCCTCTGCCCCCAACCCGCCATGCCCTGATGCCTTTCCCCATCTGTCTCTCTCTCTCTGTCTCACACACACACCTGTGTGTGTGTGCGCGCGTGCACAGCAGGCCAGCCGCAGTCCCCAGCCCTCCAAGCCCTGATGTCTTTCCCCATCACACACACACACACACACACACACACACTCTGTGCAGGCTGTCCCTGGAGGCAGCTGCTGTCCCAGCCCTCCATGCCCTGATGTGTTTCCCTGTCTGTATCATCCTCTGCAGGGACGGGAACAGAACAAGCCTGACTCCTCTCCGCTTCACATTCAGAATCCTTTTGAAACTTCTCTCAATATAAGCAAGAACGTCAGCCAGAGCCAGCTGCAGAAGTTTGTGGACCTGGCCCGAGAAAGCGCCTGGCTCCTGCAGCAGGACGAAGCCAGCACCCCGGCCGCGCGCCCCTGGGGGCTGGCCGCCCTGCTGCTGCCCTCTGGGGCCGAGGGTGGCTCTCTCCCCAGGAAGCAGAGGAAGCGGCCTGCCAGTGAGAGGATTAGGAGCTTGCTGGAATCCATCAAAGATAACAGCCCAGAAAACGTCGCTGGCGCCAGCGGGAAAAGGACGAGTACCCACGCGTGATCCCGGCTGCCTCTCCCGTCCTCTCCCCTCGGCCCCCTTGGCCCACTCTGCAGCCTGGGACATGGCTGCCATGGAGCAGGTGGAGGAGAGGAGACGCGTTCGCCAGCAGACTGTAGCGGCCCCTGGCTGGGCAGCACTAAAGGGACCCAACCCTTTGCATAACACACATAGCTTAATAAAGCTGCCGGGGGGTGACAATGCTGTGATCCGGATTGTTGTACCTTGTGAGCCAGCTAGGCCCTTAGCACTTAAGAATTAAAACAGGTTGGTACTGACCAGCAGCCGAACGCAAGGACAGACACCTGAGGCACTGTGGCTTCGGTGTCCTAAGCCAAGTGTGTGCAAGCACTGAGGTGCTGTAATTTTGAAGATCACTTAGTTCTCTTTTCCAGCAGGAACCTTGTTTCTAAGCACAGTGTGCTGTTCACCCCCTCCTCCCATTCTTCCCCTTGTGGCTTGGGAAGCCCGCTTTCCCTCTGGGTGGTGTTTCCCTGCACAGGGCAGGTGTTGGGGTGCAGGCACAGCCTGTTCCCCAGGACTGGGGGGCAGCCTGTGGAGCCTCCCACTTGAAATGCAGGCTCTGTGTGGGACCTGCCGTGCGGCAGTACCCCCTCTGTCCACAGGGCTGTGCTCTTGGGCCTCCCCTGGCTGGTTTCCGCTGTTGGGAGGCGCGGGGAGGGTGTGTGACCTTTCCTCCTTAATCATTTATCGGATGACTGGGACAGGTGTGTCTCTTGCTTTCCACATTGATAACTGATATGATGGGATGTAGCTAGCAAGGATCTTTGTACAGTTTTAAATTCTGGTTAATGGAATACCTGCAAACAAATGTCTTCTTGTTTCTTCAGTATATCACTTCCCAGATTTTTTAATGTAATTTTTATTACATCATGCAAATGATCAGTTACTCATAATTGCCATTTCTTCAGACAAATTACAACATGAAGAATTTTGTTTTCCAAGTATCTTTTTTTTTTTCTCGTTACTAGGCTTTTATTTGGAGGTTCCCCTCCGGGAGAATTTAGCTCCATACATAACAGTAATTGTGTTCCTGGCTGCGTTGATTCTGGCTGTGTACCCTTCTATAGTTTACAGCCCGCTGGTGTCAAGCACTCTCACAGAGTGCTGGTGTTCCTGGAAGCCTTAGCCATCTTTAAGGAGCTGGGGGACATTGCAGGACCCCGGTGTGTGGTCTGTCTGAGCCCCAGGTCCCTGGGGAGCGCAGGGAAAGAAGTGGTAGAGGCCGTCGAGGGAACACGTCAAAGGAACACGCCCTCGCAAGCTGCCGCCACCTCTCACTGTACACAGCGAGTCCGGTGAGAGCAGGGTCAGATTTCCATGTCCCAGGCTTCCCCCAGCCGCTGGAGTTCCTGTGGGGTGACAGGCTCCTGTGGGATGACGGGGGGGGCGGGTGGTGACGATGGAGTGGGGCAGGGGGCTTGGAGTTGGGAATGCAGGTGAAGCAGCGGAGCGCATGAGCAGAAGCCCCGTGCGTGGCTGTAGTTAGGCTCATGGGGCTTGGCCTTGCTGGACAGGCGGCCGAGGGTGTGTCTGCGGGCAGTCCCTACAGGAGCATGGCTGCAGCGGCCTGCCTTACTGGGTGCTTGGTCCTGGGTGTGTCTGCATGCAGTCCTGCTGGTAACCCATGTGAGAGTGCTACATCCAGGGTGCTGCCTTAGCCAATAGGATGCGAGTGCTATCTGGGACGGTCAGGAGGAAGCTTCATCAAGTACGATTGCAGGGGAGAGGTCTTGAGGGGTTGTGGATGGAGCCAGGGAGGGGTCTGGAGATTGGTTCTGGGCTGGGAGACAGGGGGAGAAGGAGGCGTGGGCTGAGGTCTGCAAACCTGGGTGGCAGAGGTGCTGTTTTCATTTTCATTATGATGCTCAGGAGTGGAAGTTTAGCCATTGCAGAGGATCTCGGCTGCTAGTGCAAGAGGTTAGGTGTTCTCAGTGGGGCACAGCCCTGGGGTCTGGGGAAGGGAACGTGAAGTCAGGCTGTGCTTTTCAGGGGTTAGTAGGTTGAGCCTGAGTAGTTTGAGATCACTACAGCTTTATATATATATATAAATTATTTGTAAAATTTTAATGTTTCTTTTTATTTGAAAGGCAGAGTTTACAGAGAGGGGAGAGAGATCTTTCATCTACTGATTCACTCACATAGACTGGAGCAGCTGGAGCTATGCCAGTGCCAAGCCAGGCAGCCGGGGCTTCTGGATCCCCCATGTGAATACAGGGGACCAAGCTTCTGCACCGTCCTCCACTGCCTTCCCAGGCCACAAGCTGGGAGCTGCATGGAAAGTGGAGCAGCCAGGACTTGAACTGGTGCCCCGTGGGATGCTGGCACTGCAGGTGGAGAAGGTTAATCTAATACACCACAGTGTCCTCCCTGCCACTGAGCCCTCTGTTCATGAACAGCATGGTGTGTAGCACACAGGATCCCATCCCTGAGTTGGCTGAGATCTGGTGATGCCATTCCCAGGGGCGTCCAAAAGCCACTGGCCTCCCACCTCAGGGGAGTCCTCCTGCTTCGCATGGAGGAAGGAAGTGAAGGCAGAGCTGTGCCTGGTTCCCCGTGAGAAGTGTCTCGGTGCACCTCGGCTGCTGTTTGGTGGGCAGCCTTGCGCGTGAGCAGTTCTGTGCAGCATATGCTCGGGAGGGGACAGGAGCGCAGCAGCAGCCGGGAGGGCGTCAGCGCTCAGGAGGCTAGTTTCAGGGTCCATAGACATGGAGCCCGGAGCCCACCGCCGGTACAGGTGGTGTTCGCTGTAGATGGGCTCCTAGCATCTGTGCTGTCTGTCATCCGCGAGGTGGGAAACCACAACGCAGGATGGATAAAACCACGCGCCCTGGTTTAGAGGGCCTGGCTCGCATCCCCGCAGACCCACAGTGGCTCCCTTCCCCCGCCCAGCCTGCCTTGCTGCCTGCTGATGCCTGCCGGGCAGCTGCTCGGTGCTCTGCCCACTCCCTCTCAAGGTGATTCCAGGGAGAAAGTTGGTATTTTGTTAGTCTGCCAGTCCGGAGACCACTACAACCTCTCCATTCCACTTCCGGTGCCCAAGTAAGCCAACACCGGTCTTAGAGGAACATGTCCTGTCCGTCACCATCGCTGGCTGCCAACCCCTGTGGTCCACGATGCCAGCATGTGGCTGCCATCAAGGCCTGCTGAAGGAAGCGGCTGACTGGTTCGAGTTCTGTGCCCGCTACTTTTTCCAGGCCAGGATCCACTTCCCGAGACTTGGCACGTACACGCCGAGCCTGAGTTGGAAATTCATGCCATGTATGAGTGAGCGTACAAAATTCTGCCCAAAGAATTGGAAGAATGGGGCCACCTCAAATAGCTCTGAAATACTGGGGTGTTTTTTTTCCCCTTCAGTTTTCCAAAGCACTTACCAAGAATGAAGTCTTTTACATTGAAATAGTTCTTCAAGAATTCTTGTGATTTATAAGAGAGATTTTTAGATTTGTAAGAGAGATTTTTGCAAGCGTCTGTTAACAATATCTTATTCACAAGCAAAGAATTTCGGTGCATTTATTTTTTTACTTTAGGTATAATAATTGAGATATTTTTGCATAGTGCATCAGTTATTTCTGTAAGCTGTGACTTTTGTACCTACTGCTTTTCCATATTAGCCTACATTTATTGAGAAAACAGAGAAGTAGCTCTTGCTTTGAATGAGTTCTCTGTTTTGTTTTTTTTTTCTTTTTTTAAAGATTTATTTGTTTTTATTGGAAAAGCAGATTCACAAAGAAAAAAGGAGAGACAGAGCGAGGCAGATCTTCTGTCTGCTGGTTTACTCCCCGAGATGATCACAATGGCTGGAGCTGAGCCGATGTGAAGCCAGGAGCCAGGAGCTTCTTCCTGGTCTCCCAAATGAATGCAGGGTTCCAAGGACTTGAACCATCCTCTGCTGCTTTCCCAGGCCACAAGCAGGGAGCTGGATGGGAAGTGGAGCAGCAGGGACATGTACTGGTGCCTAGGGATGCTGGGCTTGGAGGTGAAGGAATGACCAGTTGAGCCATCATGTCGGCCCCTTTGTTTATTGTTTGTTTGGCAGATTCTCTCTTTTCTCTCTCTCTCTCTCTCTTTTTATTAATTACATTGCATTATGTGACACAATTTCATAGGCTCTGGGATTCCCCCAACCCCTCCCTGTGCCCTCCCCCCATGGTGGATTCCTCCACCTTGTTGCAGTATTACAGTTCAAATTCAGTCAAGATTCTTTCATTGCAAGCATATATCAAGCACAGAGTCCAGCATCTTATTGTCCAGATAAATGCAACAGTTTCTTGGAGAGACCATCTCTGCTCTGAAGGCAGAGCTGGCAGAATATCATCCTGATCAATTAAAAGCCACAACATAACATCAACAATTTACAGCATTATGGAATTGTTCGACATGGTATTGAGTAACCAATATGTTAGAAAATGCAAGTTCTTAACCACATCCTGTGATTACTTCATTGACATTTCTGTTTTAGTTTATACACAACCGGCTGCTATACACCTTAAAGTGGCTATAGGGTACTATTCAACTGTCTTGTGTCTATTTTCATTTTTGCATTTAGCAGTTTATAGTGTTGAAGCGTAATTTTTACTGAACTGGGTGGATTTTAGGATAGTCTAAACTGGCTTATCACTCTATCAAGGCATATGTCAACAGCTGAGGCACAGAACAGTTTTAGGAGGGGCGTGCAGAGAAATCTTCAATACCTTAGTGAGGAGTGACTAATTTTTGTGTCCTGCCTAGTAAGGTATGTGTGAGTCCACGCTGACTGTTTCCTGGTTCTGAGCTTTTCTTGTTGTTCTCTAGTCTAATTTTGTTGTTGGTTTTTTTTTTGGGGGGGGGGCGGGGGGTTCCGGAGCCTCCTTAATGGTCAATACAAGAGAGGGTAGGGACCCAAAGTTGGAACTAAATAAGGACCAGAGAAAACTCTGGCAGATTCTCAGCTTGCTGTCCTACCAAAAACCCTAATTCAGATGTTTATGTGTTTAGTTGGGATTCCTTATTTCAGAAAGTCGGGTGGAAAGTGAAATTATATCATGGTTTTATCCTGATTGTTTCAGGCCAAGCCAGACTTCTCAAAGCTGTCGTTCTTAATACTTGCAGGTTGGGTTAGACAATATTGGAATCTCAGTGTGGTTTAAAATCTCCATTCTGAAGCCTTTGTGTTTATTCAGGGCAATATTAGGTACATTTGATTCCTGGATGAAGAGTTGACTATGATTAAGTATGTGCAGTGCCGTCCTGAAATGAATTTTATTTGTAGATTAATAAAACATGTGCGGCATGATTTCGGAAAATATTTGAGGCCATTAAATTTAGTTACATAAGCCGTAGTCTGGTTTAAATTCTGTGCAACTAAAAGTCTGTTTTGCCTTATGACCAAGTTCAAGTTACACTAGGAAATATATTTTCCAAGGTCATAGAAAAATGTACCCAGTCACACATTTCGTAGTTTGTTTTTTTTTTGAAAACATGTGAATTGTCTTTAAAGTTTTGTTTGTTTATTTGGAACACAGAATTACAGAAAGAGAGCTCTTCCATCCATAGGTTCATTCTCCAAATGGCCACAACAGCTGGCATAGGACTTGTCCAGGGCCAAGTGCATCTTCTGGGTCTCCTGTGTGCGTGTAGGAACCCAAGGACGTGGACCATCCTCTGCTGTTTTTCCAGGCACAGGAACAGGGAGCTGGATAGAAAGTGGAGCAGTCTGGACTCAAACCAGCACCCATATGG